GGTCAATTTGCCCAGTGTCACACCCTCAATGTAACCCCTGGGTAACTGACAGTTAACGACTTTGTAATCCACAGCTATGCCTGATCTTATCAAGTTAGTTCACGGCAACACAGCAGGTCTTAACAAGATCATGAGCCAGTTCAGAAAGCAGTGGACAGCAAAATGTTTGGGACGAGCTGTCACTGATGAAGAAGTTGACGAGAAAAGTCCTATATCCAAACGACAACTAGAGAAGCGAATACAAAATATTGCTACTAAAGAAAGAAGAAGTGATCGACTTCGTTGGTATGTTCACAGTCACATCTTGGCATCATTTGGTCTAGAGAATTTATTGGTGGTAGATGCGGTTAATTATAATAGCTCAGATGCATCCACAGAAACTGCAAAGTTTCCCATTGGTCTTCACACAAATACTCCAAGCATCACTCAGTTTACCAGGCCAGTTTCTCCAGCACTTGACAACAGAGGTTTGAGTTCTGAACTTAAAAACCACATCCCAGAGATTAAACCATCTAGAGCTCCTTGTAACTCAACTTCACCAAATATGGAAGTAGAAAGCAGAGGCTCATCGTTTCATGGCACTGACATGTCAGGCTGTTCCAATGGTGCAAATTCTCACTTGTTTGTAGAAAGTAAATCTCAAAGCAAAAACACTTCACAATTGTGCAATAAACCAGGCTTAATTCAAGCCATGATGACAGGCACAGACAAAAATTCTTCTGGAATGGCTTTTGAAACTGTATGTAAAGACTGATATGTGAATTAGTTATTCTCATAAAGTTGTGTTCATATTGTAAAATAACACCAATTTTGACACAGAATACAGGGTGTATATGTCTGCTCCAATGGTAGAAGAAATTTAGTGGGTTACAGTTGGAAATCTGGAGTAGTCCAGAGTACCATGAAGCCTAGAACTATCCTCAAGAATAATGTTAAAATTTCACTCGGGCATCATGTATTTTAAACAATGTTGAACTCTTTCACCTATTTCCAAGTTGCTTTTTCCACCATCTCAAGACAGTTTCTTGTACCAAACTTTCAATATGAGAATGAGTTTGCAGTGTGCTGTTGAAATACATTTTCTTACGAGTGGTTTTGTACTAATTGTGACACAAGTAAAGCCAACTAGAATATACTGTGTACCACTTTTATTTTGCCGGGTTTAATTTTTCTGGATTTTGCAGATGGTACTTGATCCGCAAAAATAAGTTCCAGCAGAAAAAAAACACCTGCAAAATCAAAAATCGCAAAAAATTTAATCCCGTAAATATAATCAAAAATGGCTTTCATCCACTTGTGTTACTATAATTTATATTATACATTGGGGTAAAAAAA